AGAAACAAAGTCCTCGTTCCACACGCTCTTACACAGCATCTCTGTCTGAGTTGGTTCCAGATGAATAAGGCAGAATACCAAGTGGCCCACTTATACGCTATGCAGAGACAAATAGACCAGTCAATCACTGCAGGCTGCAGCGGAATAACAAATGCTCTCTGGTATGTGTATGTGAGTGTATGTGTGTGTAAAAGAAGCGGTATGAGCTTTTTTATTATTTGCTGCTCCACAAATGCATCTGCGTGCACAAACATAGTGTTACAGTGCTGGAAACAACCTGCAGTTCTAGATGAATGTGATGTGCTTTTGAGCGTTACAGCAGACCCAGTCTGTTTCTACTGTTAATGAGAACAGGAGAAAAAAAAAGAGCGACGTAGGAAAAAAGAGATACAAAACACTGTTGGAGCGCCTGTGTCTCAGAGGTGCTTCCAAAGTAAAGCCTGTTGAGGGATGCCAAGCACCAATTTCATTTGTACCTCATCATTCCCTTCAGCCATATTTCATTTATTAACACCGCCCCCATAACTGTTTTCCTAAAGTGCAGTGCTGTAGGCCTGCCAGACTAAACTGACCACTGAAGGTCACCGAAGAAGCAAAAACAATACTATTCAGCAGAATGAGAGCTGCTCTATAAATATTAAATGTTTCAATTACTTCAGATATCTGCTCAGAAGGACTGCATCACACAAACTAGAAAAAAAATGTATCCGGCATGACTGAGTGACAGACCATCCCCTTACCTCGGATGGTGTGGGGATGGTGAGGTGGGGGTAACAGGAAACATTGTTAACACGGGCTACATTGACCAGATCCAATATCAACTTTCTGTCACAGGGAAATTAAATGTCTACAGCATCACATTTCTTTTCTATAACATCAGTATCAGTGTCAGCTGCTAAGTCTAAATGAAATCGCTTCAGTGCCACTTACGGAAACAACTTCAGCAAGCAGGCAATTGTACTAAACCATCCATCTATTTTCTCCCTCTTATCCAATCGAGGGACATAAGAGGGGGGTGGAGCCAGCTGTCATAGGGCAAGAAGACAGACATAGACATAGACAACCACTCACCCTTAGGGCTAATTTTTAATAGCCAATTATTTAGAACTCACATGCATGTCTTCAACCTGTGGGAGGAAGCCAATGTACCCAGAGAGAACTCCCTCAGACACAGGGAGAACATGCCAACTTCACCCTGCCCTAAATTGCTAGGGGAAATGCTCAAAACAAATAAAGAGACATCTTGCAGATAGCATGACACCAAAACGCCACGAGTTCCAAAATTCTCACATTCAAAGTATTAAAAGTATTCAATAAATACACTTTTTTTTTTGAAAAACAATAATTTAATTAAACATGAAAGGTAAAAAACAATACATTTAACTTTAAATGGTTTTTTCTCTGTGTTTTCGCTTCCTCACATCCCAGGTAGTGGATATGATTGGCTGACGCCCAACAGGTAATAATATCCAATGGAGACAAATAGCCTCACTTTATCTGGTACGACACATACGCTGTTATGGAATCGCTTCTATCTGTATGTAATATCTTCTCCAGTGAACTGTGAATCTGCATTCATAAATAATAACTGCAGTGTCAATAATTCTGATAACGTTTCCACCTAGAGTGAAACAAACGACTCTGGGACTGGACTGAGGAAATGACTCGAGCTTTCTCCACTGAAAAATATTTACCGCGTGAAACACGTCTCTTACTGTGTTATTGTGCGACTGAATTAAGCTGTAGGTGTGGGACTGTGCGTGTTCGCACCACTCTGTTTTATGTGTTTGTGTAGAGGAGTGTAGTGTACATGCAGAGAGTGATTAATCACCCAAAGACCCTCTGAGCTTTGTCTACTATGGCCACCAAGAAAGCTCTTTTACAAACAACAGCGCAAGAATGATTACTGAAATAATTATGCATTTTTTTATTCCCCACAGAGAATGAAAAGCAGTGGCAATCACATATCTTTTTTTATTAAGTCTGTTTGTGTGGCCAGTAACACCGAAGTGTGATTGTGCGTGCGCTATATCTCTCCCTCCTACTGCGAGATAAAGAGGGGTCTTTGTCATTTATTTTTGCTCACCATATTTCTTCTTTTGATCACATGCATTTACACTTTTTCTGTTAGAGTTAGGCGACCCAAACACTTGTTTATCCCAGATTTATTGTGATTGTGCAAAAAAGACAAACAAGCAGGATCTATATAGGTTTTGTTGCACAACCCGTAACCCTATTGGTAAGAGTCTGCAACTGCAAGTCGTCTGCGTCCAAGGTAAACATGTTGAAATATCTCGGGATCTGGAGCACCCATTAAAATTGCTACCCAGTATCATATTTCCTACCTTGGTTTTTCACAGCAATCCGAAGAAAAAGAAAAATCCTTGAAGTTCGGAGCGTTTTTGAAATCTTCCTTACATAGTGATAAGATTCAAGAAGTACGAAGAGAAGAACGTTAAGATCAGAAGCCAAGAAGCCAAAAGCTCAAGTTAGTGTGAGCTCTCAAAGTCAGGAGATCAAATTTGATTTTCATAGTTTCAAGCAGACGGTAAAGACTGCAGAAGGTCAGGTCAAGAGATGCGGCGCTGTTGTCGGGGGAGAAAGGACAGGCTACAACAAAAACAAGCTACAGCAATGCATGCAAACCTGGAAGAGGCTGACATACTGCTGTGTTAAACATTTTGAATAATGTGTCAGTCGACATCAGTTTAGTTGATGATTATTGTGCTGTTTATTCCAGACTGTTTAACGGTTCTTCAATGCATCATCTTACAAGAAAAAAAAATACTGATAGGGCCTTAATGTTTTTCAGTTTAATTTTAATTAGCTATGCTGACATGTGAAAACTAGCCCATTGTTGTGTCGCCAACAAATTTGTGATGCCAACATTTTTTTTAAGCTGTTATGAATAAATATTATGAATCTTACACTAGTATGTCAGCCCCTCACTGAAAACACGTGATATCATTTGCAGCAGGTTGTGAGAGAACTTTAACCAGCAGCCAACAGATCTGTAAAATTGCACTTTTATAAACAAAAAAAGATGAAAGGCCCGTGTCAGTGTTCACAGTCTTACATGTCTGAGATTTTCACAGCTCGATTTAAAGCTGAATCCTTAATGAGACTTTTCTGAACTGCAGACTCAAACTTGTTCTACATAGATGCTTCGTTTTTTTCTCTGCAGTTACACAATAGATTTGATCGGGCTGCTGGTGAAGTCCTGTCCTCCATTCTATACATTCTCACAAAACAGACACATCTTCCAGCTTCTTCTACAGAGCACATGTTGGTATACTCCCTGGTTCCTTATATTTCTACCTGTCATGTTCGAAAGCAGCACAGTAAAGCTGCTAACGCGCCCCACAGGCAACAACTCGAGCACAAGAATAAGCCTCCTTTTCCCTTTTCTATCATTTGCTCTCCAATCCCAAGCAGCGAAGGATCTCTGCTTATCTCGGCATAGCTGTCATGCCGACAAAACAGTTATCACCTTCTCCTCCTTGCTTGAGAGTTCCAGGAACCAAAAGAACACCTTGCTAATCAGCTCCTTACTATCATGCCCGGTCATATTCTGTATAGCTAACCCAGCAGCCAATATAACAAGGGAAAAAGCACAAAACGAAGCTGGAGTCTTTCTCAAATAAAACATGGATTGGTTTAAAAAAAGAAAAAAATCAGCAAAGAAGCTGAGGCTGGTACTTCTTAACCCACCACTTCATGAGCAAACAAAGACTTATGCAAACAAGTCTATTAGCCTTTCACCCTACTTGTGCTCTTGCTTACATCAAGATTGTGAAGAGTGCTGGATGCTAATTATACATAAGCTCCAAGTTACCAAGCAGCACACTGCTACAGACAGGATTCTTAATCAATGCAATATTTATTATTATTTTTAAAAAAGGTATAAAATTAGCTTCATAACTTAGCTTTAACAACATAATGCATATTTCTACACTAAATCCAGAACAATGAAAAATCAAACCTCACAGTCAGGCTTCTTATAGCTTATAGTAAAACCTTCCCCATCACACATCTGGATATTTATGAAGTCATTTCCACACTTCAGTGAAGCTAGTTCACACTTAATTATAGGGTGCACAGCTACTTCACCCTCAGTAAATGCCTTAGCCACAACCAGATTCTAATATTACGAACATACGAGAGGAAAAAAGAATGAAAAGCATTGACCTAAAAACCACATAAGTGACTAACCTGTGTCTCGCTGTTCTCTACCTTTTTTCTTTCACTCCCCAGCTTCCAGCCACCCAGCAGGGGGCTTTGTGGCAGGGACGTGGGACTTAGACCACTGTTTCTCCTCACAGCATGTGTTAGCACTCATGGTAAATTTCATGGTGAAGTTAGAGTTGTGCAGGATTTTACTCTGAATAACAAGACAGCACCATCACCATCTGAAGAGTAATGAATGAGTCCAATCTGTGTGGCCCTACTGAAGTGCGATAATGACTTTACCTTGTTAAACAATGTTTATGCAAGCTGTAGAGCTTGTTAACATTTGACTGTTCACAATTAAAATATCCTAACATTAGCTAATAATTATAATTATCCACTTAAAGTCATTATTATTAGCTAATGTTTAGATGTTTTAATTGTTAGCAGTCAAATGTTAACAAGCTCTGCAGCTAATTTACAAAAACATTTTTTAGTTCCAAAATGAGACACCAGATCTGTGAGGATGTGTTCATGTCTGTAGAAATGCAGCACAAGAACATCCATCTACGCCTCGAAGATTCATGCAAATGTTCTCCAAAAGAACTTTAAATTATCAATTGGAGAATGCTCACCAATCACTTTATTAATACAATACAGATCTCTTTCATTGACACACTGAAAGCAGACTTACAAAGTTGCCTGTGGAGCTTTAACTTTAAACCACTAAACAACAGCTAACCACCACTGAATATGTTTCCACCGCCTGACTCACTGCACTCACACACCTTCTAACCATTTTTTAAACAATTAAAACAAAAACTTTGACTTACGGTCGTTGCAAAATGAGCCTCCATAGGACGTCATGCTGCAATCGCAGGTGAAGCCCTCCCATTGCTGGAGACACACCCCCTGATGGTAGCAGGACTCCTCCGTACAGGTGGTACTGGGTCCTGAAGACAAAACCAAAACAAACAGCATCACATTTTTTGTTCAATCTCATTCAAAATTAAATATTTCTAAGATCAAAAGGCAGAAGCAAACAATCATGCACTCTAGGGGTGGGGGAAAAAATCGATACTGTGTAGTATTGTGATATTTTGTTTGCTAATAATGTATCGATACAGGGACAGCAGAAATCGATATTTTGTTACAAAAAAAGGTTTTGTGGACTGGAACATGCTTCCATGACTTCAGAGCATGTTGATCCTTTTTCTGAGCAAGAATCCTGACATTCCTTCACTGTCCAAATGTGTTTAACTTTTTTTAGGCAGCAATAAACATGACAGTTTACTTATTTTAATTTAAGACATGTTTTATTTTAACTAAGTTTAAAACTTTTTTATTTAATGTAAAATTATATTTTGTTTTAATTTACTTTCAAATTCTTCAGTTGCTGAATGGGCTGCATAGTTTTCACAAATTGCATAGTTCAGAACAGCTATAATTGTACCAGATGGTTGCGTTCAGTTAAGTTGGACTAGACTGTAATACAAACCGTTCAGTTTGTCAACAATAAAACTGACTGAAATGAGAGAAAGACTGAGACTTTGTTATTAGAGAAAATGAATATTGATAAAGTTTACCTTTATGTACAGAATCTGAATATCGCAAAATATTTTTAAAAATTGCAATAATATCGTATCGTGCGTTAAGTATTGTGATAATATCGTATCGTGAGTTGTATGGTGATTCCCACCTCTAATGCTCTCTGGGTAATGAGAGCAAAGGACAAATTGTAAAGCTCCATTTAGCAATTCGTGACTTTCCCACTGTGGATTACACACACTATTGACCCAACAGCGCACTGTCACATCAGCTGGCAAGATTCACCAAGTGTTTTGCCTTTGTTGACTGACTGAAATGGAAGAAGACACGACTTTCCAAGAAAACTAGATTTTGACTACTTGTGCTCAAAATAAAGATGGTAATGGTAAAATGATAATGCTAGAAGGCAAAAGAAAATAACAACGAACTACTGTTATAAGATCAAGATACAGATCACATGATAGGAAAACAATGGTTCTAAAAATAAATGTGCGTGGTGGCTGTTGTGTTGGTGGGGTTTCTCATTAAAATCTCAATTAAACACAGACATTTTCAAAGAACCATGGTTCAGTGCCAGACTAATTTGTTTCCACAAAGATAAACAGACATCTCACTGTGCCATTTACAAGTGGTCCAATTAGGACACCCTACCCCCCCACCCCCACCCGCGTGCTCCAAACTTATAAAAATAAAATGTTTTATTTTGTGTTGTTTATATGCCAGTTTGCATATAATCATTAGTTTTTAATAATCCCGGGCTCTCCTCCACAGCATGTCTTTCTCCCCTCACCAACCAATCACAGCAGATGGCTGCCCCTCCCTAAACCTGGTTCTGCCTGGTTTCCTCCTATCAAAAGGGAGTTTTTCCTTCCCACTGTCGCTAAGTGCTTGCTCACAGGAGGTCATCTGATTGGGAGTTTTCTCTGTATTATTTTAAGACCTTCACCTTAACCTCCTAGGACCTGGCGTCCACATATGTGGACATCACATTTTGGGTTATTTAGACTAAAATACTCAATTTTGCTCTACAAGGGCCTGATATCCACTTACAAGGACATTATAATGCTACTGTTCTATTAAAAATTTTAACGAATATCCTCATATGTGGCTTTTATTTTTCTTAGAAACAAAAATAAAGTTAAAAGAAATCTCATAATTCTTTGTTTTCACATTCATCAGGTCCCAATCAGCCCAAATATCAAAGAGAAATTAAAAATGCATGTCGTGGAAGAGTTCGGGTCTTAGCAGGTTAAATATAAAGTCCCATATATGACTCAAAGTGAATTAAATTGAATTGTTTTAAATTGTCCATTTTCTGTGTTAACTATGTCCTTATTTACTGATTAAAACTGTGTTCCCTTAAGGAGCTAATAGAATATACTGTCATAAGCAAAAGCCACTAAATGATTTGTTCATTCTTCCTTTATATTACTCACGTTATCTTTGCATTTCTTCCTGACAACTCATGAGAACTTGCTATCAGGTGCCTTAAACTTGTTGGAGCATAAGACTCTCATCTGTTATGTTTGCTCCAAATGTTCAAGAAAAGGTAAACAGCAACTGAGCACATATCTCCATTACCTTGCTGTTGACAACCGGGTGCTCGACTAGCAGATTGGTTACAACTTGAACATCTGCCTACATACTAATAGTGTGCTTAATTGAGTTTCTTAAGCAAATATTTCACCAATTCTTGCAAAAATTATTACGTAGCTTACATGCTTTTTAAAAATTATTTATTTATTTATTGTGCATGATTAGAAAATGTAAATTGAAAGCATTTTGTATTTATCTTGGACGTAGACTCTGCCCATTTTTGCTTATTTCTCCTGTCTTGAGCTACAATGAATAAGCAACAGTGCTTTTGTACCTTGACTTCAGTCTCCTTCACTTCCTCCCCTCATCTTATTTTTTGTTGTTGTGATCTGCTGAGTCAGTAGGCAGTTACAAGAAAAAGCTCAATGTTCTAGCCTTTGTCTGGCCTTATCTCTGGAGAGACTAGACCAGCAGCCACCTCTGACCACTCTGTATCCCCAGTCCACAAGCTAACAATGACCTAAGAACCAGGTCCGTGCGGACCCTGGCAGTGATCCACATCCAGAAAAATAATACATCTAAAAAAGTCACCTTCAGTGGTCTTGCTTTTTCTTTTGAAACCCAGCGATTTAAAGATCTAACCTACCAACAGATCAATCATGTAAACAGCGCTTCTTCTCTGGTATATGGTTGGGGGAAAATATTCTGAAAGTGATTATAGTTAAATTAGATAACCAGTCAGAATTGTTTTTGATCTATTCCTGCAATATCAACAAGGGAAAACATGGTTTTGCAACAGCCCCAGGACTAGATGTACTAATATTTGTCAAAAGAGTCCACCATTCCAAAACTGGTCAATTACTACTGCTCAAATCCCTGGCACATCAAATCATTAACTAATATTAGCATCCATTTCTGGTCCCTGCGGGATTCAATATGATAGCTTAATGCAGTTTTAAACTCTGTTTGGAGCGAAGTAATTGTGGTGTATAACTGTAGGCAGGTAATAAGGCTGGCTGGCAGAAGTAGCAGCGTTAGGGAGCAAGAGAAGGGGGGGAGAGAAAAAGCTGGATCACTACTGCATCTAGTCGGCCAATGCGGTCCTCAGGGAAATCAAGTCTGTGCTCTCCAACGTTCTGTATGCCATTGAGACGTGGTGGAGGGGAGTTAAGGGTGGGGTGTGTGGAAGGGGAAATGCTATAGCCAAAATCTACTGTTATACTCAGGATTAACTACCCCACACCATAGCCATGCAGCCTGAGACATGGTGGCCAGCCCCGCGCAGCAGAGGTAAAAACATGACAAATGCAAGATTAATGAAGCAAAAGCCAGCAAGGGTGGAGCACTGCTGAGATTTGCCACACTGACAACAACATTAGAGGGGAGAGGTGCTTCCCTCATGCAGGGTTTATAGTGCAATAGAGAGGATATACAGAGGACAGACTGTAAAGACTGAGAAGTGGGCGTGGCCATTGGCGATATTAGGGAATAAAGTATATGGAAAATGGACTCGGTTACTATACTTCAGTGTCTCAAATGGTCGCTTAGTTAAAGAAGCAGGCTTATGTTAAAGCAGGTCACAATGAAACTTTAAGAAGGCAGAGTTACTATTAGAAATAAGATTTTTACTCATGTCCCAAAACAACAAACTCAACTTCCGAATCGTTTCCTCATAATTGCAGTCAATATGCAAAGTGAGAAACTGTTGAACAGCTGGCATTCACTGAATGAAATGACTCTTATTAATATCAAGACAAGTGTATTCTACACTAGATGGTAATCATTGCCATTTGATTTCCCCCTAGTGACTCACAGGTAAGATAATGATTTAATGATTGATTGAGTGATTTCTTATCTTTAAACAGTTTAATTGCATATTAAGCTCAGTATATGACAGCTGCTGCTTCTACTTACCATCGCAGCCTCGTTCCACCTGGCCCACCCTGTGGAGGGCATCTGCGATCAGGTCAGGGAGTCTCCCATTCAGGTCCACAGAGGCCAGACAGCCCTGGTACCCGTCCCGAGATGCAATCAGTTTGGGCAGATTGCTGTACATGCTCTTTGTCACGCCACCGATGTACAGCTCCCCTGCAAAACACACCCATAATAAGATCAATGAGAAATAGCCAATGGTCAACATTAGTAGAAAGACTGAACAGGCTGATCCAAAGGGCCAGCTCTGTGCAGGATGCCCTCTGGAC